ATATATATATATATATATATATGTATATATATTTCCTATTTTTTTAAAAAAAGCTATATAATACTGAAAACAAATTTCACGCTCTTCCCTCCCCTCCCTCTATTATTTTTTCCTCGAAAACTAGTAAGGCAGGAATTCCACACACGAGTTTCCAATTTTTGTTCAGCTCGCGGGGGAAAACCCCCAACACGATTCACACAGAGGCTGAAAAAGAGGAGGAGAGGCTTCTATGACAAAAGGGGAAAGGACCCCCCCCCCACCTCCTTCCCTCCCCCTAACCACCTTCCAGGTCTGAGTGGGGGGTTGGTGGTGAGCCCCTTCTCCCAGGACAGGGACACCCCCACCCCCCCAGAAAACAATCAGCCTGTTTTGTAAACTTTTCCCGTACCTTGATTAACACAAACAGAAATAAACAACACGAAAGGTCTTAGGATTATTACAATTCACATCCCTCCCCAATGTTTGGTGCAAAGAAAATAAAGGAGGGCTCAGCAAGAAGGGGAGGACCCCCCCCCCAAAAAAACCCAATTTGCAAGCAAAGCCGGAGATTGAAAGGGGGGCTTCCCAAGTCAGAGGCAGCCTCGGGCCCAAAGGCAGGCGGGAGGAACAATGTTACACATACATTCTGGCGGCAACGCGTCCCACAGATGCCCACGGCGAGTGGGTGCCACGCTAGGCCCCTGACCAGTGCTGCAGGAAGGTGCCCAGCCCCAGCTGACCTCCTGGGGGAGGGGGAAGACTGAGGACAGTGACCCTCCCCCTCCAGGGTCTCAATACTTCAAAGAGCCAGGGTGGCCAGGGGCCGGCACACCCTAGCAAGACCGGCCTTCCACTCTCACACAGATGGGGACTCCTCCCTTCCTGCTGGGGTTGCGTCCGTCTGGCAGAATGGGGACCCTCCAAGCATCACAGTATCAGCTACAAAAAGTATTGAATTCTCTTGCAGATGTGCAGACACACACACACAGGCACACACACGCACACGCACACAGAGGATCCATCAATCCTGGCTTGGAGCCTTACCTGGCTTGGCGTAAGGCGGAAAACCCCCAGACAGTCTTTTCGGCATTTGGTCACAACTGGACGGGGTTTCCCCTCCTGCTGCTGCAGTCCAAAGTGGGGTGATTCGGGTGCCCCCTTTCCCGTCCCCCACCCTCCCCACAGACACACTCTAAACGCACCGCAAGAAAACGGCATCTGGCGCTCCAGAGTCCTTCGTGCCGCCAAGTGTTTGTGAGACGCGTTTCTAGGGGGGAGGGAGACGATCCTGTCCCTGCTCCACTGGTGCAAGATGCCACGGGGGGGAGGGGGCACCCCCAGAAGCCTTCCGTGTCCTCTCACCTTTGCAAGGGGGAAATCTTGGCAGGGAAGGGGGCCAACGATAAAGGAGGCCTCGGGTGCAGGGCACAATCTGGTCTGTTGAGCCCTCAGAAGTCGGCGGGATGGCCAGGCGGCGTACACACAAAAACCTCCGCGTGTCTTCCGAGTACCCTGTGTCCAAAGCAGCCCCCCGTCCCCAGGACTCGGGTCGGATTTCGAGCGAAAACAAGGTCCTTGCAACAAAACCAAAAACCAAGCAGGTGCTTGTGTAGAGACAAAAAACAAAAAAGCACACTGGGACGCAGCCCCTCGGGATAACGGAGAATGTGCACATCACAGCTCCGGCGTAGAGCGCGGGAACCGCATCTCTCACCAGCTCGTTTCCAAAAAGTCCCATGCGCTCTCTCTTTTTCATACACACACACAGACACACACACACAACAATTGTGCCCAGGGGAGCAGCACCATAGCTGACAACGCTGGGAGGGGAGGCATGGAGCCAAAAGTGTCACCCAAGTAGGATACATTCAAATTTGGCTTTGGGTGCACAGGGCGCTCCGACCGTCGATGCCGCGGGGTGGGAACTCCCGCAGGACGATTCATGATTCTCATCCGTGCACGAAACGGGGAGGGGAGGAGGGGAAGGGCCCGGAGAAACGTGGAGACTCACAACATCCGGCGTTTTGCTTTCCTTTGTTAGAAGAAAAAAAAAGTGTGCATCCACACACCGGTCGCTGGAGAAAAAACTGCCCGTCGTGAGCATCACCACGAAAGGACAGACGGACGAGGAAGGAACTGGCCAGAAGGGGGAAGGATCACTGGGGGGAGGGGGATGGAGGGGGCTCCCCAAAGGTTCCTGGAGATCTAGGAGGATGCCGGAATCCGGGATCGGCTTGGAGAACAAAGCAGCTTCTTGGAGGAGCGACCCGCTTCAACAGTAGTGTAGATTCCTCTTTTTGCAAGTTGTTGTTTTTAATTCTCTCTTTTTTTTCCTGTGTTTTTTTTTTCCTCTTTTTTTTTTTTAATCAAACACAATAGAAAATTGTGAACGTCCAGGGTGGGGTGGAGAAAAGGAAAACGAGGAGGGAGGCTTTTTTTTTTTGTGCAATTTTCTTAAAAAAAGAACTCGACAAAAATCAAAAACGAGGAGGAAAAAAAACGAAAAACTTCCTATAAAATGGCCTCTTTGTAAGAGAAAATATACTGTGCGGATCGAGAAGAGTCTGTAGAATATTTACACATCTGTTGCCTATAGTTATCCAAACAATTTTTTTTTTAATATAAAAAAGATCCTTTTTCTAAGTGCATTTCTTCAAGTTTTTTTTTCTTTTATAAATCTTTTTTTATATCAAGCTCCTGTGAAATTTACCGTTCACATTTTTTTTTAAACATACGTGAAAAATAAGTGTTTTTTTTTCTTTAAAGATAAAACTTTTTGTAGGTTTTTCTTAAGCTTTTTTTTTTNAACTAGGTAACATCCCCAGTGCCGATTCCTCTTGTTGCCTGTAGACGGGATCTCGCCAGACTAAAGCCAACTCCCTGCATAACTATATAGAGAGACTCCTGTGAGCTGCCAGGGAGGGGCCGCCTTGGCCTTCTTCCTGCCTCCCAGACGCTCCGATCCCAGGAGGGAAAGTAGCCCCTCCCTCCTGGGAATCCAGGCTGCCATCCACCGCAGGCCAACCTGTTAGTCCCCAAAAGAGGGGTAAACTCTGTCCTCCTTCCCACCCACCTGTACCCTAAACCATGGCTATGGCCGGTCTTTGCTGCCTCCGCCTCTTTGCCATAACCATATTGGTTGATCTGTGCCCATTTGTCAATACCCGGAGCCCCGTACCCCAGGCCAGCATTCAGGAAGAGAAACCCCATTTTTGTGCTGGGGTCAGGCTGGGCCCATCGGAGGAGCAGGAGACCTCTCAGGGTTGGGTTGCAAGCGTTCAGGGGCTGGGCAACGGGAATGCCGTTCGTGCCGGCTAGGAAGGCCCAGGTGGTGAATAGGATGGGGGTGTGGAGGGGCTCCTCTCCCTCTGGACTGATGGGCAGGAAAAGGCATTTGAGGTGTCCCGTGGTCTCTGCTGCCACTTCGTCGAGCTTCCTTGCTAGGAATTCTCTCTCGTTACAGGGGTCCTCGCTGGCCACGACAACCGGGTCAGCTGCCTCGGAGTGACAGACGACGGTATGGCCGTAGCTACCGGCTCCTGGGACAGCTTCTTGAAAGTCTGGAACTGAACCCTGCCTTGGGGTGGATGGGGGTGGGGCTGGTGGGAGAAAAGCTGGAGGCCCTTGGTGCCGCCCCCCCCCCTCCGGTCTCTGCCCCCTCTGCTGTGGCCTTGAGCCTCTGCCCCTCAGCCGGCGGCCCTCCCAGTCCTTTCCCCCCCCTCCTGTTTCTTTCTCTGCCCCACTTTAACCTCATTCTAAGCCTGATTTCCACCTGCAACGTTGAGGGGGGAGGATGCCAGCAATGCTGCCAAGGGGGAGCAGGGGGTGCCAGCCTCACAAATAAAAAGGTTTTGAGGGGTTACAATGCAGCACTGTGTGATTTTGTTGAGGGGAGCTGCGAGGTGGTGGTGGTGAAGCTTCGGTGTGCCCCCCCCCCAGCATAGCCTAGGGCAGGGGTGTCCAAAGGTGGCCACTTTTAAGACTTGTGGACTTCAATTCCCAGAATTCCCTGGGACGAATGCGTTCCTTTTGATAGGGATCACCCATTGTGGCCTATTTACTCTCTCGTTATCCCTTCCTCTCCGATCTCCTCGTTCCGGGAGGCAAATGTAGGTCCAGAACACAGAATGGGCCAGGCTGTATCGGGTTCTTCGCAGAGGAGGGCTGTTGCTGCAGATTTCCTTGGGGTTAGGGGAGGTCATCGGTGCCCCCCCTCCCTCCGAGGGGGATGTGCTCGAGCTGCGAAATAGGAGTGTCCCAATTCGACAGTTCAGCCTTGAGCTAGATACTTCCTACAATTACATGACGGCTTTTGGGGAACCCTGACTTAAACTGGAGCCGGGAAAGTGATTGGGCCCCCAACACTCCTGGGAAGGGGGGGGGGAGGTTCAGAGAACCCCCATTTCTTCATTCTTTGCTGTCTGTCCGTGGATTGATTTTCCCTCCTGCTAAAGTGGCCAGAAGAGAGAGGTAGGGCGAAGGGTTAGCCCCAGTCTTGGGGTGGGTGGGATTTTGATAGACTGCAGCTGCTGATCCCGTTCCCCAACCTTTTGCAACGAGGGGCTGTGCTCCAACGGCTCCTGAGCTGCCCTCCTTGGTTTGGCCCAATGAGATGGTCAGGAAAAGGCTGCCCACTCTACTGACCACAATTCACGCTAAGTGAGACATTCCTTAACTGAATTTGCCCCATTTGACAACTTTTCTTGCCCCATTTAAAGTGAATCTCTGCAATTTTTAAGTTACTGTGTTTCCCCAAAAATAAGACCAGAGTTATAATTTGGGGGGGAACCAAAAGACCCATTAGGTCTTATTTTTTGGGGGGTGTCTTATGGCCACCCGCTCCCTCCCTCCGCTTGCCCATGGTCGCTTCCCAGGGCAGACACACTTTTTGAAATGACAAGAGACTCAAATTTTTGTCAGCTTGCAAATGCGGCGCGTTGAAACGGAGCAACGAAGGCATCGCCTAGTCTACCCCACAGCTTCCCCCTGGCAGGCGCCCCGCATGAAGCGCCAGGTTCACCTGCCTCACCTACTGCCTCCTCTTCCATGTGCTGCCGCACGAGCCGCCGGGCAGCTTCCCGTGAGCCAGGCAGCCGTGCAACGTGTCCGGATCACCCGTCTTCCCACCCTGCACTTAAGATTTCTCACCACTACGCCAGACTCCACCAGCTCCCCAAACACTCTTGTGCTGCCCACTCCTGCCCTCCAGGCTTATTTGTGGAGGAGGGTTTGCATTAGGCCCACCCCAAAGACCAAGGGCGGTGGGGGAGAACTTTTTCAGCACTGTGTCCCAAGTGGAACGCGTGTGCGTGCCCCCGCCCCCAAAACCAGCATGCGCGTGCTAGTCAACTGCTCTTTGGGTTTCTGGCGCTCCGATACACGCGCCCCCGTTATTTGGCTGTTTTGGGGGATATTTTCCGGCACTCCGGTGCCTGCCAAGAGCAGCTGGTGGTGACGCACGTGCCCACTGAGCAGGCTCTGCGTGCCACTTCTGGCACCCGTGGCATAGGTCCGCCATCCTGGACCTCTGCTGTCTTCTAGGCTTATTTCCAGGGAGAGACAGTAGCAGCCGAGTGAAGTGACTCTTGGTTTCCCCGAGGATTTTTGCTACGCAGGAGGTCCCAGGAGGACACAGCAACGATCACGGATGAGAGTCAGCTGCCAAGCCTCCGAATGCAAGTCATGTGACCGTGGGGATGCTACAACAGTCACCAGTCTGAAAAACAGCCATAGGCCACTTTTTTGGCTCCCTTGTAACTTCAGTCAGTAAGCAAGGATTACCTTTATCTCCTGTCCGTGCGTGTGTGTGTCTGTCTGTCTGTCAGTCAGGGGTGGGTTGCTCCTGGTTTGGCTCCACCCACCCGGAGGCTTTTACGGATACACTTCTGTGAGCACGCCCCAACCGGTAGTTCAAATATTTGCAACCTATCACCGGTGTGTGTGTGTGTGTGTGTGAGAAAAAGCCCAGAAAGTTCCACAACATCTAAGCTTTTATTTCCTTGCAGACACGCAGAGCAAAGGGAGGGACGCAAAACCATTTACAAAACACGCGGCAAATGGGGAGATATGTACAGGAGGGGGAGGGGGGCTTGGCGTCTCGCCCCCTTTGGATAGGCTGCCACTAGCAAAAGCCAAAAAAGTCTCTACGCGGGTTCAGAGAGCAAAGCTGTCTCGCATGCAACCAGCAGGCGCTCCGCCGCCGCCAGTTTAAGGCGCAGAAGCAGACCGGGTCTGGCCGGCCCCTCGTCGGCAGGCAGGCAGATGCCCCCCACACCCAAAAGGAGGAAGAGCCGTGGCAGGGCCCCCGCCTGCCCCTCGCAGTCCAATTCGGCCAGTCTGGCTGCGGCTTCGTCTTCCGGCAGAAGAGCCAAGTCCCGTGGGCAGCCAGCCAGCATGAGCGGAGACGGGGGGGGACACGCCACCGCCCCCCTCAAGTTTTTCAGGCAGGTGGTCCATGGGGAAACATTCGGCACCCGAGATGGGGACGGGGGACAGGGAGGAAGTTGTGGCCCCTCTCCCGGGCCCTGCCAGGCTCCGGGAAAAGGTGAAGTCTGTAAACATCTTTCCACTCTCAGTAGGAGCTCAGAGACCCCCCGGGGCCTCGGACGCCCATCACAGTTTCTTGTAACACTCGGGAAGGACGGACGGACCACGACAATGTCCGGGCCTCGCCTGCCTCAGGGGGGGACAGCGGCTGCAGCGGGGAGGTAGATGGTGGCCGGAGCTGTAGGCCGAGATGGCTGGGCCCTCCTCGTGTGGGATGCCAGGGAGGGTAAAGGCCAGGCTCCCGTTGCGGCCGCTGTGGATGTGGGCAGGCGTCCAGTCGAGGCTCCCAGGCCTCCTTCCTGGCTCCGGGGCCTTCTCGCCTGCCGGCCTCGGTTCCGGCCTCTCTGGTCTTCCTCACCAAGTGGTCTCCTCGGGCGAAACCCCTCCTGGGTCTGCCCCTCCGTAGAAGTTTGTGGGTTACAGTTTTAAGGCATCAGAAACACACAAAAATGTCACCAAGTTTTGGAACGAGCAAAAAAGTGGGGGAGCCCGTCCCTTCTCCAGGAGCGAGGGGAGGGGTGGGGGTCGCAGCGAGCTTTTCCCTCCGAGGAAACCCCAGGAAGAGCCCCCTCCCCCCCTCCACTGACGGCTGCATAGCGTTGTCATGGCCTCCTCCACTTGCTGTGGCTCTCTCTTTACTAGACATGCACGAGAGCTATAATTTGTTCTGGCATACACCAAGCTCAAAATTAAAACACTACTCCCACCCTCCCCACCCCCAGAGACCCCTCCCACACAACCCTCCCAATGGTTGCGAAAAGGGACCGAGACAGACACATGTATACATTCATAGTCACATTCCAAAAAAATGGTTGCCCCAAAATTTCAACGAACAGAAAAAAAGGGGGGGGGGATTGCTACAGGAAACTCTTCTTACGCGCATTATTGTCTGAAAGGAACGAACTGGCAGCAGTAGTACTAATACTCAGACTGGCCCCGACTCAGAAGCTGCTGGCTGTGGAGCATGGGACCCGGAAGTCAAAACATGGGGG